AAATGTAATTCTCATGTCAATGTAACAGAATAGATACTAATAATGTCCAGAACAGCAGTTAACTTCCTTTTATTATAACAGATAAATCACTATATTTGTACGGGAATAAGGGAAAAAACCAACAATAAGAAATATTCCCAAGACAATGATGAACACGAAGGGAAATCAGTTGTACAATATTAATAAGAGAATAGAGAATAATTCAGAAAACGAATGACAGGAAACGTTGATGTTGAGACATGGAACGAGTCTAGATATTTGACCATTGGTGCTGGTTCCATCTCTGTAATATCCATTTCAGGTATAAGATTTTTAATAATAAAACTATTAAATTGATTATGAGAACACGTTCAGATAAATAATATTACCTGACATAGTCAGTTGTCAGAAAAAATTTCATTACATAACCTCTACGGATAACCTTCAGACCAAGAGAAATTTTTGAATAAGTTGATATGATAAATGCAGAAAGTAAATAAGATAGATCAGTGATCGATCGGTCTGAAATCCCAATCGCTTCCATCTCTAGTGAAGTTATTTGATATATGAAAATGGAAAATATCTCACATTGGGAAAAATTAACATGCAAATGACTAGATTTTTTTAAAGAATTACACATATGTAAATACGTTATTCGTATGGTTATTCGTTTGAAATATTGCTATCCATCATTAACAAAAGCAAAACCTGCTTTTCTAAAATAATAATAAAGTTTTTCATTTTCTTTGATTTATTACGTTGAACATATCATCTATTTTACCAACTAAATATTATATTCCCTTAGATTTTTTTCTATGATACATCAGAATGGCTTCCGTGACAAAAAAATTAACTCGCTATTTTTCTAATCTATTAGTTTAAGGCGTTGTTATCGTTGTTTTTCGATTAATAAAGACATTTGACCATTTGAAAAGAACTTTTTGAACTCAATAGATTTTTTTCTAACATATGACATGATGTTCATAGCATACAATTTCTATAACTACTGACATCTTTCTATTTTATCTGACCCATTGGTTGTACAGCAGCAAAATATGATAAAAATGGAACGGTGGTGGTGGTTGGTTGATGACCTTCTTTCCTTTGCTCCTTGATTGATCTAAGAACATTTTATATTGATTAAAAATCAAAATGTTCATACACTGGTTAATATTATTAATTAGTTTTCTATTTGTTATAATTAATGCTGATATTAACAAAGTTAAATATTCATCTATAAGTATAAATAGATAGTTCAATTTCATGATTTCCAATTTTTTATTATCTTTTTAAGACAAGGCTATCATTGAACATGGATCATATGATATTATTACTAATGATTCACTTAATCAATCTTGGAAAGCAACAACTAAAAAAATTTTAATTCGGTATTTTTAAAAAATCATGTTGAAAAAAGTTATTTGAAATATTAATGTTATAGAGTAACTCGTCTGAATAAAAAATCAATAATACATAATCGATATCGACGTGAATTAGTTGAGTAAGTCAAATATAATAGATTAGATTTTTTTTTCTTCTTTATCTATTTCATAAGTTTTTCTATGAGATTGATATGAAATATATTTATTATTATAGAGCGATACAAACTTCTGATTTTGTTATTAATATAGCCAAAGCAATGGAAAATTTTGAAAGGTATTTTAGCGAAAACAAAGAAAAAAAAACATAATAAAGATTAATTAAAGTTTTTCGTAATTCTAATTCATTTTATTTGTTATATTTAATTGTAGTAAGCACAATCAATATAGAAAAAAAAAATGTAGCGTATGATTCGAAAAATTCTCTTATTAATCTTAATTTTTCCCTTAATTAATTAATCAACCAAGAATGATATATCTAGTTTTAAAGATTAACATTTTTTTTTGCTTTTTTTTTTAGTACTGAAGAAATTTGGGGCATGGCAAAAAAGGTAATTAACTCTTTTGTTTTTTTTTTTGTTCAACAAATATTTGATCAAATGAAATAGTGTGCGAGAAAAATATCGAAAAAAGTCACAGGCTGCTGACAGTATTATAATTGCTATAAAATACTTCGATGGTTTATCATTTACAGCTGCTAAACGAAAAAATGACACTATAATTTTGTTATTTTTGTTATCTATTGACTTACGTTTGATCTCTGTTACAATGCTAGCAATATCTCATAGAATAAAGCATGTTCCTTGCCAGTCAGAATTTTCTAAAACATTTTACGACTAACCGATGAAATCATTAGAGGCTATACGAATGTCGACTTAGCATTGATACCACAGTAAAATCTCTCTTTGATGGCACCGTTGGGATCATGCTTTTTTTGGTTCCAGTTCGAGTGACTTTTTCTCATGGGTCTCGGATCGGGTGATTTTAGCTTTTTGACCTCCGATGTAGAGAAGATTATTCGAGAATTTATTCATATCCTATTACTTCATTGGCTCATTTTGTTCTCATTGATATGATTTATAAGATAATTCAGTTTAAATTATAGAAATTGGTTCTAGTTGAGACAATTTCTCTTGCAGTCGTGGTTGCAGCTGCTTCTTTTTCCTATGGTTTCAGTGACCGGAGCGGAGATCAAAATTCTTCTTGTACCATCTTTAGTCAGAACTAGTTTATAAGCTTCTTGGTTAGTTTTGATGTAATTAAAGACCATTCTCTATGTTTGTCATCTTCCTTTATTTGAATGTTTATGAATCCAACAATGTTTGGACAAAATACAAAGCCTGACATTGTTTTGCATAGGCTATGTATTATTGTTTTTGGTTTTGATATATGTTAATTCGATAAACATTGCTATACAATTCATATTTATTATGTTAAAATTTTTGAATTTTCTTTTTAAAACTTTGATTTAAAAATTATTTGATAACTATTTAGATATTCAATTTTTCATCTAATTCATATTGTACTTTACCATTACAAACATTGTTAATTGAAATTTTTTTCTTTTGATGTAATATAACATTAGGATGTTATTGCTTTTCCTGATATGTGCAATTATAACAAACAATGAACAGCAGCTTTAGTTCATTAGTCAGGAATGACGAAGAGAAGAGGAAGAAAAATAATCATCGAGACTGTAAAGAATCAGAAAAAAGTATCTCTTATCTTTGAAGTGACTACCCGATTTCGTTTTCAAAATTTCATTGAGACTATAAAAGTACAATTCAATAGAGTTCTAACGATAGGAAAGACGCTCACTATAATCAAGACAGGTACGTCTTAACGCTCAATAAATAATTTAAATCTTTTTTTCTGATCTAAACACATATATAATTGTTTGAATGCTTTTTTATTAATACGAATGCTAAGCTGTCATGTCTGTTCGAACTAATCTAGATTTTTCTATTTAATATAAAATAAATATTATATGTTTAGGTTGCTATAGCAGTATTTGTTTTTGTATCATTATGTATTATTTGCTGTATTGTTACAACAATATGTATTTGTATTAAATGTTGTTGTGGTAATAAAAATAATAAACGAATGAGAAATCAAGGTAAATTTGAAAGAAAAATTCATTTAGAAATTATATTTTATTGTGTTTAATTTAGATTTTACTACTACATCACAACCAATAGTTATTCATACAGGTTCATCAAATTATCAACAAACACCATTACAAACATGGAATTCTGAAAATCATCCAATGTTAACACAACCAAGTGCACCACCACAACCAATGGATGATTTTCTTATGGAACGTCCACCACCTTATGAAAAAATTTGTACAAGTAGATAATTAAATTCTATTTATATGAACAAAAAATTGTTTTGTCAGATGTTGTCTGAAGTATTTTTTTTTTGTTCTTGTCATTATTATCTCAAAATGTAGGATGGTTTTTTTTTCTCTTGGTTATAGCAGATTTTCTTCTACAAATAATATTATATGCATATGTATTAAATAGTTTTTATGCATGTTTTGTTTTTAATCAGATTAATAAAGTTTCATAATAGATGATTAACTGTATTAAATCAGGCATGAAAAATTCAAATTCATTCTTTCAGGGATAATTATAGTTGACAAAGTCATTTGATATTGATATCAGTTTACTTATCGATAGCAAACATACAAAAAACATTTTTTTAAAATAACTTGGAAGATTTTTTTGTATTTGCCTATATTATTGACATTTAATAAGAAACAGGATTGATAGAATATACTAACATTATCAAGACATTAATAAGTTAAAGTTGAAAAGCATCTTATTATTTTCATATAAAAATAATGAACGTTTTTCTTTTGAAATCAATTTATTGACGGAGAAAAAAATTTTATTCGTTTGGTTGACTGTTATGGCACTTATAATAGATATGCCATAAGAAAAGAATGTTATAGAATGATGTGGGGTTATTGAATGTGGATTTTTTTATTTTTTAACTTTTAATTGGTATAACTTTGTTATACCTAATTATTTTTTACCAAACTTTGGCATACAGATAGAGTGAAGATTTCTTTATCTACCTATGTTAAAATTTTCCAAATTCGAGGTACAGGTGATATCTTCCACCTTTTTTCCAATTACACACTTACTGACCTTTTCTCATTACCCCACAAGGGACAATTGGATAAATATGCTACAATGACGGAGAAATTGGATAAACCTATGCATTTCACACAGGACAATTAAAATTAACTTTTCTCATTAACTAATTAAGATTAATTAGTCATTCATGCATAGATAAATAGAGCATACTCTTTTCCACCACTGGTAAGAATTTTACATTTTTTCAGAACTAATTAACTTAAGATATCTTCTAATCACGAAACAGAAAAGAACGAAGAAAATCATGTAATTATCCCAAATGATGGGATAATTGGATATGTAGAGAAAGAGTGTGAGGTAACTAGATAAATGCACAGGGCATGATTAGAAGACTTAGAATTGCTTCTAATTAACTTTTTGAATGAAGGAAGCATGTTACAGAAAAAGTTCAGTGACAAAAAATATTCAATATTTCTTTCTTTATAATCGTAGAGAAATTTCTTTTATGTTAGTAATTCAAGTGATATGACAGATCAGTCACAAAGACATCAACTATGGTTCTCATACTGTAATTTTCACATTTTCGTAAATTTATCGATATCAGCTCGTTTTTATTCTGAGTTCCCTACTCAAAATCAATAAACATATCATGTCTTTAGTGAAATCATAAAAAAATGATTCACTTTGACGTATATATACCTGACTAATTGCTAATGATGAATATCTGAGGTCAATTCTT